GGAGCCGGCATACCAAGGCTTCTCCTAAGTGGGCGTGCGTGTCCACGATTAGGTGGCTGCTGCGTCACGTATTCCGATACCAGAGTTTCTGACGAGTTATTGCTGACAGAATAAAACTCTCCGCTACTCCGCGGTGTGCCTCCGAGGACGCCGCTGCTTGCTAGAATGCGGGCCGCGGGTGCAGGCTGCTCATTGATCGTCGGGACGCCGTCCTTGAGGCGCATTGACAGTCCGCTGGAATCACCCACAGCGTTCCTAGGGCTGAGCATGTTTTCGTTTGTTGATCGTCTTGATAAACTTGGTCGTACTTCTCGAGCAGGCGAGGGAGCGGCAGGAAAGCGAAATTCCGGCATTGGGTTTTCCGGCATAGGTTGCGGCGATGATCTTCGTTGGCCGGCTGTAATAGGTGTGTGAGGAGTTGTTGGCGGTCGCGATATGCGACCGAATCGATCAGGTGGGGGGTATGATGCGTGGAACAAAGGAGAGCTTGAGAGACGAGGAGAAAATGATGCTGAGAAGAATTAGCTCCTAGTTCAAATGGTACTGTGTAAGCGACGAACCGGAATGAGGCCCGGTTGGGAGCTGGCCTTGCGCTCGAGGAATAATCTGTAGACTTGAGGCCCGCCCATGTCCTCGATGCGGTCTTTGAGGGCGCGACGGTAAATCATTTCGTTGTGTGTGGTCTTCCACGGTATTATTGGATCCTATTGAGACAATGGAAACAGAGCGCTTATGAGAGTGGCTTGAGCGACCATCACTCGAGCCTGCTGATGAAGGCCATTGGACTGAGCCGGTACGGCTATGTGATTGTGATGCAGGAACGCTTAAAGAAAGGGCAGAACGACGATGCCCTCTGCCGGAAGATGCTGACGGCGGTGGTGTTAATCCTTGGTTTAACTTGGGGCGACCATGCAAAGGTGAGGCCAGTCGACTTCGTTCCGATTGTTGCGGCTGTGGTTTCGGCTGGCCTGGTATCGGTGCCGCGTTTTTAAATGTAATCGTACATTTGACTTCCTCGCCGGCGAAGACAGTCTGGTCGTGCCAACGTATGAAGACACGGATATTGCTGGGAGCTTCAGGAGCCATTGCGGGTAAGGAGGCCGCTCAGCGACGAGCGCGTACGTGGGGGCGGCTATGAGACGGCAAATGCAGCATTTCTATACGTGCACATGTTCGAGTTCGAGGCGGTGGAGGATCCAAGGACGGCGACAATACGATGTTGATGAAAAGTGAAGAGCTGGTCATTGAGGGAGGAGTTAAACTGCAACGTCATGGGGTATTCCGCGAAAGGAGATGGAGGAGGTTCACGTTGGCGTCTTAGCGCAAGCTTCAGCAGCCAATCACGGCTTACGCTCCCGGTACAAGCTTAGACTATCCTGAGTCTTGACCATCAGAGCTCCACTGTCCAACCAGAAACGATAGCCCGGCACGACAATCAATGATTTAGGACATGCCTTCGGGTTTGCATAGGACAAAATAATAGAGCTGATTATGCAGAAGGCTGTGAATATGCTTATAATGCCCGTCTAACATGACCACATCGTCCACTGCTTAGGTCCCTTGCGCCGACCATCCACGGGTACCTTACTAACAGAACAATAGAGGTAACGACCATCATGACCATTAATTCCAGAGGGACATTTTCATACTTGGGATCAATCATCTGTCAGGTCGACAGCCTCTTTCCCATCTTCCAGTCTCACAAACTTCCATCGTCGGGGCGATTGGGAGGCTTCCTCTGCCTCCCTCTTGACATGAGAGGACTCATTCTTGATCTAGACTAAGTCAGTAAAAGAAGTCCAGAAACAACAGCAAATGGCCAAACCAGCCAAGCTTCTGTGTTGAAAATTTGCCTTACCTGAGTGTCACGTAGTCTTTCCAGAGCGAGACGGCGAATGTCACTCTCGGTGAGGAGAGAAAGGGCACTTGCATCGATGCTAGTTGTAGCTGAGGGCTCAGGTGACGGTGTGCGTGGAATGATCATCTCATGTTGGAGTGCTTCTGTATCGAAAGTTAGAGAATCCCGGTGCGATAAGCAATACTTGTATAGGTGAAAGAGCATACGGTAGGATCGATAACGAAAGAAGATTTCTCCCATCAAACGATCGTCAGTAGTGACTGTCTTTTGAGAACTGGGTTTCTCGGTTGTTTCAGCCAGCCTATACATCTATATTAGAACTTTCTTCCAGCAAACGCGGGTTTCATAATATACGTGGTTGTATGGCTTATGGCCTTGCCTTTCAGCGCCTTTTCCGCTACTTCTACCTCTCGGCTGGTGGAATAGCAGGAATGATGTTCCCGGGGCCGCGTTCCTTTAAATCGACCTGCGAAAAGACACAGCCGGATTATTCCCAAGGTTTCCGCACGTTTGAGGTCCTGGTTGAGCCTATCGGCACTTGTGGGATCGGCTGCAATCTTAGTAAAGATAAAGTGACTAATAGGTAGACTTACATATTGTATTAATAGGAGCAAAGACAAACTTGCCCAGTATTGGTTTTTTCGCCCTTGTTTCTGGTGAAACTCTTCCAGATGAGATGATGATGGCCTTTTTCCTACTACTAGAGAGGGGTACGTCTAGAATCTTGCACCTCCTCCGCTCGCCGTCGACGTAGACTTCGGCAATGAAGGAATCGTGGGAATTTGGAGGTTGATACTTATCAGAAACCACGATTTCGATGGCAAACTCGGCGCCTGACTTGGATTCGATGTAACACACTTTTCTTGGGATCTTGGTGCCTTCTTTGTCAAGTTTGACCACGGCCTCTTCGTCATCAAGGGGATCGTATTCTGTGGCGAGCTCCCCGGCGACTCGAACACGTGCGGTGACATGAGGGACCTCGTCCAACACTGCCATATTGGGGTGAAATAAAATGCCGCAACGTGAAAGTCCTGACGTGCGGTTCTCAGGAGAAGACAAGGTGAATATCAGACGATCAGGCTGAGGGTTGAAAGGAGAGCCTTTCGCCAGCTGTTGCAAAAACGAGCAGCAGCGTTTAGGCACTCCGCTACGTACCTATGCACCAGGGCCACCTAACAGTGTACTGCAGCTGCCCGTGGCCACAAGCAATCAATTTGGTGCCTCACTCCCATAGCAAAAAGAGTTCGAAATGTATTTCCACGACCGACTATATAACTTTGGAAGAAAGAATTAACCGACCGCACCACTTGGTGACCGATCTAAGCAGGTACTCTCCATTGAAATTGGTAGCGAGGACGTCCAAGAGCAAATAAAGGACAGGTTATAAGCCAGATCGAGCGGGAGGTAGAGGATTTTGTTCTCTCACTTATTTTACTCGATTTGTTTGGCTGAAAGATATCCAATCAGGTTGTGGTTTTCTAGTATTAGCATTTGGATAACTAATATGTCTAGCATAGGTGGTACCAGTTGCTTCGAGCACAACTGTTGTTCTTATGGAGTCCTTGTGAGCTACATTACTTACCTAGGTTTTTAAAGCAAGGTATGAGAGCCGGCGCATCAGAAACATCTTTGTTTTTGAACAAGCATTTTGGAAGTCCGGAAGAAGGAGAGTAGCGAGGATGTCTCTGTTTTGAACACTGACGGCTACGATGCAGGAAATGAAGTGATGCACAGATTGCCAACAAAGGAATATAACCATTAACACCCTTGAGACCAAGCGCATCTGGGGGGGAAGGAAGAGTCCGTAGGCAAAGAATTCTAGGGACAGCAACAGAGCTTAGTGCCTTCGTTCATATCTGGAGAATCTGGGGCATGCGGGGTCTTGCAGCTCCCGAACACTACCGGCAACCGGTCGACTCATCAACCGCCCCAGCAACATCAGCCCATGTGTTCAAGGTATGAGATGTTGAGAGAAGTGCTAGTCTAGTCTAAGTCCCGCTACCATTGGACCGGGCGATAGGAGATGCCTGCCAAACCAAGCCCACGGCATGGTAGCCTATCATTCCTCCACATTCACCTGCCATTATGATTCCATGGTAAGCACAAGTCTGGGGTCAGATCTACCTGCAAACATCTAGCTTGACACATCTAATCCCACCCCAGGAAAAGAACGGAGCCGCCGCCGACCCAACAAGTCCCTGAAGTCGGGGATGAGGAGAAGACTGCGGCCTGCGGCCCCGTTTGTGGGGTAGTCGTACCTACGGTATGTACGGAGAAGACAAGTGATCTGGCGGGGTAAAAAGCAAGCATGAAGTCGCGGATCCGTCAATGCCGCAGTTTTGAAGATAGCGGATGGGCTTCATCAAGGTATGTATCCCTACGTTGGGGCCTCCAATGTCGTCCTGTCATCTCCAATCTCAGCAATTGCGGCTCTCGTTTGTGGGGAGCATATGATCTATCATGTCGCGTGCATCCGGACTGCCGTTGGACCAATTTTGCGGAGGCGATGGGCAGGGCTGAAAGGTTATGTAAGTTTGCGGCTCTTGAGAAAAGCTATCGTATTGGAGGAATGTTGATATGATGGATCGGGTCACCTTAGAGGTGGCTAGCCTCTCAGGAAGTGAGATAAACACTCATGAAGCGCAAGGCTACTGCTCCAATAAGCTGGTGTATAGTGGGTGCCTGGGAAAGTCGCCAGAGCCGCAAACCATGAAGAACGAGGCGCATGTTTCCCATGTGGCCATGTTCAAAGTTGGCCGTAAAGGGAAAAAGTTCAGAGCGCTTAGAATTTGAGCCTGGGGAGAGGGAATCGGAGGCGGGGTGGGTGTGTGGGGCCGTCCCCGCCTTTGCCGGCGAGACGGAGACGCAGCGGAGCCGCAATTGCTCATGACCACCAGCAAACCTGCGGGTCCGCGAACCAAAATGAACTGCACGAGGCGTACCAACGTCTCGTCGGCCTTAGGGAACGTCACGGGGGGTGGTAACATGGGAGAAAAGCTAGACAGAATTGGGAATGTGTACTCGGGGCTAGGATGAACGGCTGCCCCAGGAATTGGAGAGCCACTCATGGCCTTGTCAAAACACAGAAAAAACGAGGGTCAGCTCTTTGTTAGTGCGGGGTCCGTTTAATGCTCGCTCACCTTTACGCCGAGCGTTTCGCAGGACCCTCCTTCGGTCTCCCAGTAACGAGCAGCGAGAGTCCAAAGTTTGAGAAAAGATTTATATTTTCTGTGTTTTCTGTGGAGTTTGAGGAGGCTCGCACAAGATACACCGAAGGGGTAGGTGAGGTCATAGAGGGGTTTCGTTTAAGGAGGGGAACCACATTGAATGGCAATGTAGATGTGAAGATCTGAGCACGGCCCTCCAGCAAGAGACCAGGTAGTGCTAGTGTCAGTGCTGGCAACACAGCCATCGAGGAAACGAAGATTGGACATCAATACTCCGTAGACCCCGTGGATATCCAGATCCCGAAGGTAATGTGGGGTGTGGCCCCTGGAGTAGGTAATAATCGACATTAGGGTAGCCAGTATCATTAATGAATTGACTAGGAGATTAAACATGTATTGGCATACATGTTTAAACAAACAGCTTCCAGTAACCTACACGATGTCGCAACTCGACTAGGCTTTGGAGGGGACGACTTGCTTGTGAACCCTCTTGAATGAGGAACAGTTATAGAAGAATGCATAGAAGGCAAGTGTATAGATACTCGCTGTCAGTGGCGCCCATATCGAAAAACAGTCGAAAGATCTTCCCAGGAACAACGGATAGGGTTTACCATGTAAACAGCGCTTGGCCAACCAAGCTGACAAAACCGAGCTGAGGGATAATTGATACCCTGTACAACTCCGCGGCCTTGGATGGATCATGGACTGAAATAATATGCAGAAAACGTACGTCCATCGGCAAGCGCTAATTCATAGCAGGACTACCTTAAGTTAGAGACGCAACCTGAGGCTGGGGTTGACAAGGATCCGAAGTGCGGTTCGATGTATATTCCCGTTGAGTTTGCTAGAAAGCTTATCTTGATTACTATGAAGGCTGTCCAGTAAGATGAATTATGGGTTGCTTTAGCAATACTCTCTTTGACTGCGTACGGCATTATTAGCAAATCACACCGAATGGTTAGTTAGTTGTCGCCCAACGATGAAACCGTCCAAACTCGTTGAGATTGATGTGCGGATCAAGTCTGAGGTCCCCAGTGAGAGACCCTGTCTTATTGCGGCACATTACCACCTTTTAACTGTAAGTGCGTGTACATACTTGTACCTGGTGTCGGCTCCGGGGGGGGTTGTGCATGCATCATTGATAACCCAGATTGATTTGTCACTGCTCTCAACGGTTTTGAGAGACGCCCAGGTCAGGTCCGTGAAGTTTTATACAGTGATTTTGAGGCTATTCATGTCATGAAGTGGCAGCACGAGCTATCACTCTGCCTCGTGAATAAAGCTATGTCATGCTTTTAGACATCCTTATCTGCTATACCGAGCTTTGACAATTCTGTTCACTTTGAATTTCGTGTTCTTAAGCTTGTCCTCTTTGGCGCAGATCCCCTCCTTGAAGGCCCATAAAGGCCCCTGCAACCCCACCATTGGCCACTGATGGCTCGGATGTGGGGAGAGAGCTTGGGGCATGTGGTGGCGGCATGTCTGGACCTTGTTTCTGCCGGCTGTTGTGATTTGCAGAAACCGTCAGATCCATCCACTTTGGCGGGGAGTCCAGAGAGCTGTGGAAGCAAAAGGGTTACAGGCCATGACAGAACCAGTAGCAAGATCCGATGAAGCAGTTGGTAGTCTATCAAGGGACAGTTCATCGGTCCAGTCATCAAAGGCGCTGGGCACGTTGAAGCACTGTCTGTAACGTTTGCTGATATTGTACTGCTCCTTTCTGGGTAGTGTAGGTGTTACTGCTTAAACATCCCTGCCCTGCCCTGCCCCGCGGTTCAGTCAAATCGTTGCCTGACATGAATGTGATGGACGTGATCTCCCATAGCTTGGTACCGGCTTAGAGGAGAGCTCTGCTCTGCCCTTGAGCCGTTCCGAAACCACTTCGGAGCAAGTCCTGTCCTTTCGGGGTTTGCTGTAAGGTGATTGGGCTAATGCTGCAGTCGATGTTAACAGGACAACTTACGTGACGTTTCGACTACTAACCATGCTAACCACCTCCTGTCCACCACCGCCACGACAATGCTCCGCAAAGCTATGGGGTGCCGCCCGTCCGCTGGGGGTCTCAGTGTGAGCGGTAGCCAGTGCAATCCATAGCATTTCCTCTTTCAGGTAGCAAGAAACCAGTACGTACCAGGACATCCATGCTCATCCAGGTGTGAGGCGAGGCTGTTGCGGGGAAAGTTGGCGTCACTTGAACTTCACCCCTCCTCCACTCCACCGAGGTTCACATACGGCACATCGCACCCCGATGGGCGGCCCCCCCTTAGTCCCCTACTTCCATTCTTCCACAGGAAAACCCCGCGTCATTCTCAAGAATAAATACTCCCTTCCCGTCGTCAACATTTCCATTCCCTTTTCCAGATCATCTCATCGTCTCCTCTTCACTCTTCTCTTCTATCGACATCCTCATTTGATACCCAAAACCCTCCCTCTCCTCTACAACACCTCGTATATCATACACAATGGCTCCCCTCACCGTTGAGCTATCCACCCCTGTTACTGGTACCTACCAGCAGCCCATCGGCCTGTAAGTGATTATGGTATCGAACACTGTTGACTCCAAAACTAATACCATTCAGCTTCATCGACGGCAAGTGGACCGAGGGTGTCGACAAGCAGAAGTTCGAGGTCATCAACCCCTCCACCGAGGAGGTCATCACCTCCGTCTGTGAAGGTACTGAGAAGGATATCGACCTGGCTGTTACTGCTGCCCGCAAGGCTTTCGACGGTGAATGGAAGAACACCTCACCTCAAGCTCGAGGCAACTACCTCCTCAAGCTTGCCGACCTTGCTGAGAAGAACCTCGATCTCCTTGCTGCTGTCGAGTCTCTCGACAACGGAAAGTCCATCACCAACGCCCGTGGTGATGTCGGCGCCGTTGTTGGCTGCCTGCGATACTATGGTGGCTGGGCCGACAAGATCGAGGGAAAGACCATTGATATTGCCCCTGACATGTTCCACTACACCCGATCTGAGCCCGTAAGATACCCCTGATTCGAAATGCCTTGGTTCTCTGGTACTAACACATATCTCAGATTGGTGTCTGCGGTCAGATTATCCCCTGGAACTTCCCTCTCCTCATGCTGGCATGGAAGATTGGCCCTGCCTTGGCCACTGGTAACACCGTTGTCATGAAGACTGCTGAGCAGACTCCTCTCTCTGCCCTGGTCTTCACTCAGTTCATCGAGCAGGCTGGTTTCCCTGCCGGTGTTTTCAACCTTGTTTCTGGCTTCGGCAAGACTGCCGGTGCTGCCCTCTCTGCCCACATGGACGTTGACAAGATCGCATTCACTGGTTCCACCGTCATTGGCCGACAGATCATGAAGTCTGCTGCTTCCTCTAACCTCAAGAAGGTCACCCTTGAGCTCGGTGGCAAGTCCCCCAACATCGTCTTTGACGATGCTGACATTGAGGAGGCCATCAACTGGGTCAACTTCGGTATCTACTACAACCACGGCCAGTGCTGCTGTGCTGGTACCCGTATCTTTGTCCAGGAAGGCATCTATGACAAGTTCCTCGCTGCCTTCAAGAAGCGAGCTGAGGAGAACAAGGTCGGTGACCCTTTCAACGAGGAGACCTTCCAGGGCCCCCAGGTCTCTCAGCTTCAGTACGACCGCATTATGGGTTACATCAAGGCTGGTAAGGACGAGGGTGCTACCGTTGAGACCGGTGGTGAGCGCCTCGGCACCAAGGGTTACTTCATCAAGCCCACTATCTTCTCCAACGTTCGTCCCGACATGAAGATCATGCAGGAGGAGATCTTTGGCCCTGTCTGCGCCATTTCCAAGTTCAAGGACGAGAAGGAGGTCATCGATCTTGCCCACGACACCGCCTACGGTCTCGCTGCCGCCGTCCACACCAAGAACCTCAACACAGCTCTCCGAGTTTCCAACGCATTGAAGGCCGGTACTGTCTGGGTGAACTGCTACAATATGCTGCACCATCAACTGCCTTTTGGCGGCTACAAGGAGTCTGGAATTGGTCGGGAACTGGGCGAGGCTGCGTTGGCCAACTACACACAGAACAAGTCGGTTGCCATTAAGCTGTACTAAGCAAAGCGAACTGGGCATTTACGGAGGATATATGGGCGGCGTTGTAACTGCGTGATCAATTTGTATATGATTTCATATTTAGTCTTACGGCTTTGACGAAGAAATGCCAAAAATTGACAAATCGTTCCCATCCTATGGTGTGTGGAGTTGATGTTTTGAGTTGTGCATACCCAAACATATTCCACTGAGCATTCCTTCCCTTGGTCCTAGAATTATATAAAAGGAAAGGAAATTATCCAGAAAAAGAGTAAAAGCTTTGGTTGAATGCTGCAATTCATCCTCCTGTTTTATCCAAGGGACTGGGGATAGTTACCAGCGTTTTTCTATAATCTTTGGGTATATTGGTCAAAGAGTTATGTAAGCTTATGAAGGTATTACTCATGACTCAAGGAACATTAATCTCAAACTCAAGGCTGAAATTAATATCCCGTTGTTTCGTTGGCTTGGGTTCCGGATTACTGTGAATGTTGGTCGGCTCCAATTATCCCGAAGCTGTAGTCGGGGCAATACCCACCGAGGCTAGAGTCATAACTACCTACAGTATCTAGAGAGCAAGGACCATTAATCTTCATAGAAGTGTACCATGAGCTTGCAATTGGAAGTCGACAAGTCAGATCACTGTGTAATGGTGACTTAGTAACGACCACCGAACTTCCTTGGACAACTCTTGTGAATATTATGTGTCGAATTATCGAAATAATACTGTATTAGACATACAATTTCTGTTGAGGGATAAAGGTAACCTCTGATACTACTTCTTGGTAAACCAGTCCTCGGGGAACAAGAAAATATCAGACCTTGATACAAGGTGTTGGAATAAACTTAGCAAAAGGTATCCTAAATTTATCCTAAGCTGATCCTAAACTTATCCTAAGCTTAGGCTAAGTTACCTAAGTCTTTTCATCCTTTAGGATCGAAGTCCTGAGTTGTCTTTCCTCCCATAGCCAGTCGCCCCTTTTAGTTTGTGCCCATCGAATGAGCAGTGATGCCTTGTGTCAACATCGAAATCATTACCTGCCTCACCCATCCGATTCCATCCGATTCCATCATCATCACATTTTCACCATTACCACCCATCAAAAACAGGTTGGTCGGTTCCCCAACTGCTTCCACCATTGTCACCATCATTGGACTGGTCATGATGGCTTTGTTGTGCGTCGAAAGCCTGGTTTCGGAATGCGTTGATCGAAGGAGCCTGGTGACGTTGGACACAGAAGTCACGAATCCTTCTGGCTTTGGTGTTCCACCGACTGCAGTGCGTCCACCCGGCACGATGCATCTGACACTCGGTCTTATGAGCCTCAAGGACGAAGGCGTTGAGCAGGCCAGCGAGGTGTCGAAGAATTTGAAGTTGAAGGAGTACCTTGCAAGTTCTAGACCTAAGATCCACTACGTTCTGTTTCTCGGCTGGCAGTTGCTTAGTGAAGATGCGGTTGTGATTTTTGGCCACCGGTATAAAACCCCTGGCTGACGACACGTTCTGCTTCTTCTTGTCGGGCTCCTGCTTGTTGACGTGACAGAGCACCGTGGCATGAGGGCCCTGGCAAGTCCCGCAAGTCTGCTTATTTGTATAGTCTTGTGCAAAGTGGTCGAGCTCGCCGCATCTCCAGCATTTCGGTCTCTCACATTATCCCGGGAGGTGTCCAAACTCATAACAATTGTTGCATTTGACTTCGGGACAGTCTCGTTTCATGTGACCCTGTTCACCACGACCTCTGCAGATAAATAGGGGACAATCCTCGAAAGTGTGGGTATTCTCCTTGGAAGTCCCGCACCATGGCCCCTCGCAACCCTTTACAATGTGTCCTGTCTGATCGCATTTAAAGCATTTCTGGTCGACATCTGCGGATTCGTTTGCGTTTGCTCGCCCAAGGTTTAGCATTGCATTGCATGAGAGCCCAGCGTGTCCTTGTCGACCGCACTTCCAACATAACCATTGGCTAGAATCCTTGGGGCAATCGAATGTGAAGTGCTCGTCGCCACAATATGAACATAGAAGTTCGCATGGGCATTCGTTTGCACTATGGCCTTGATGATGGCAGTTTAGGCAACTCCGCAACTTGCCACATGTGTCCGATGCATGGGGAGGAGAAGGGGCCGCATCTCGTGTAGATACTTTGCCGGAGTCGAAGGGCGCCTGGAACTGAAACAACAACTGGCGGAAGAAAATTCCGATATCTTAGACTGCGCGTCAAGTGCCGGCTACCAAGTGTGTGACGTTCGGTGTACGATTTGGTGGTTGGTGATCGTAACTGTGTCGATGGATATACAAAAGATTAAGGCAAGAGATAGAGAGAGAAAATATTAAAGGGAGAGGAGGAGAGAAAAGAAATGAAGGAAGTAGATTATTGTAATAGGTGAAATGGTACATGCCTAAGGCAGTAAAATACTGTGTAAGTTGCTCAACAGTGATTGACAGTGATTAACAATAGTTTACCTATCAAACAGACATATTTCTTTAAACACTTTCTTATTCACACATATCCACTTACCTGCTCATATTGAAGATACGATTGCCGTTGGATTAACTCTGCGGCGCATCTCCGCCCCGTGAGTTCAGTGCTCGGGCTTCACTTAAGCTCGATCGACATGTCGCTCAAAGCATACCCCCCGGGCATCCGGAAAGTCTAGAAGTCAACGCTTTGTCTCAGTTTTCGAGTGATAATATTACGTGGAAGGTGAATGCATTCGGGGAGATACTATTCCAAAAGCCCCGAACAATCTCTATTTCCTGTATCAAGTGGGCTAATCCTAGGCATCTGGAGGCTGATAAACAGGAGTACCACAAGCAGGAGAACAATAGCCAGACTATCCTATAAATTCAATTGTTTATGCCCGCATGCACGGTTATCATATTGTTTGCGAATGTAAACATGACAAGACAACGAGGTCAGCCTAGGTAGTCATTAATCTCCTCTTCTGAACCTCTGCTCAGCCTCTCTCTCTTCCTAATCTTCTCTCATCCTCAAAAACTGTCTTTTTTTTATTTAACTCTCCAACTTATCAGCCCACATCCTATAAATTTCCTTATGCCTCTGCTTTTGAAACCAGCAACGCACAGCTATTGCCGATCTCTGAAATCGGACCAAGGCAGGGAGAGGCAGGGAGACCTAGGACCTTTATCCTAAGTTATAAAAAGACTTAGGTAATTTAGCCTAAGCTTAGGTAACTCTTTACTAAGTTTATTTTGGCATATTTTCTAAAGTCGTCTCTTTTCTTGCTCCCTAACATAAGGATACCTTTCAGAAGCGATCACTATCCTATATCATATAAACGTTCGCATCGTGACTAACTACTACCTAACATGCCCAGAATTTGAACCAGTCTAGAATTACATGATTCTGCTGCCGATTATTGTACCCGTCTCATGAAGGAAAATGATTATTTCTATTGCGAAGATCCCCATGATTCTGGTGCAGGAGGTTGGGATCCCGACGAGGACTTTTTACCCAGGGCTTTATTCATCTTTGACTATAACCATCAACCAAAATACTTTCGAAGCCTTTTACGAGATCGATCTCCGGGACCACGGCACAGAAACTGAGGACCCGGCTATCAATCGACTTTGGCAATGTCACAAGAACGGAGAACACGTTGTACTTTTAATCCTTCTAAGAAAATTTGCCAGGCTTAAGATCAAAGGCACACACGAAGTGATTGATGGCGTCCTTTTTTAGGCGCCGCCTGGTCTATGCAGCTAAGAGTAACGGCACTTTCCCTCCCCGGTTCCCCGATGATCCCAAAATCTAATACTATTTGCATGCTGCTAAACGATCGCTCACCATCGACTGTTAAGAGGGCAAGAGCCCTGAAGATCCTCTGGATGTAATGGAAAGGGACAAGATTGAAAGAGTCGACCCTGCTAAGCTGGTAACTTGCCTTGTTCAAAATCAAGAGCGACCGATCCGTAATAGAGATGACAGATGATATCAAGCTACAATTCACCATTCATCAACGCATTGATGCCCATGCCCTTTTTGAGCTGATAACAGAGGAGAGCGAACCTGGCCCAGCCACCAAAAAGAACCAATCTGATCCAGCCGCCGTGGGCGCAAACGCGGATAGTTCTGATGACGAGTCCTCAACCAGCCAGTAGTCAAAAGGTTTACTACGTTTAGGTAAAACTTATCCTAAGTTCTCCTAAAATATCCTAAGCTAGGTATCCAATGTTATACTAAACTCTCCTAAACTCTTCATGAAGTCCTTGTAATTTAGGATCGAAGTCTCTATGTTTGAAGAACACGTAGGTGAACAGTTGCAAGTTTTGACAATAAGGACAGATTTGGCACCACTGTATTTGTCACTTGCAACACGGTGAATGCTATCCCCAGCATATAGTTTCAGCGAAATGGCTTGTTCCAGTAACTCGAAATGCTCTTGAAGTTTGTGAAGCTGATTTTGGGTATTTTGATGGTTCCGTCATGCTGGAGTGTTTCTGACGAACCTAATCGTTTGTACTGGCGTGGATCCGAATGCATTCCAAATCAAACCATGATAATCTCAGAAGTAGTCGTACAAACATTGGCGGTTTCCTTATGTCTATGATATAAAAGAAATATAGGTTTGATAGGAGTAAGCCTTTCCCAGAAGAGAGATATAATGGTCCCTCTAAGGTGATTGCTTCCATAGGCATCATCAGTTTGTCATTGCTGCCTTGGTAGATACTTAGATAGGCTATATGCAAAAGGCAAATTACTGCAAACATCCGTACCTGGATACCTAGGTATAGGCAGGCCTACTAACCCAACAGTTGCTTTATTCAGTGTCAAAACTGGACATTATTCAAGCAATTAGTGTTTGGCAAGCGCCCAAACAGTATTCAATCATCCATGTTGCCAAAACTCAACAGCAAAAACATAAACATATGTTCAACTAACATACAAGTTTTTATTTGCCCAGGCATTCGATAAATCAAGGAATTCCATAGTGTGAAGGACGTTGAACGAATTACATAAGCCAGTCCTTGAAAACTATAAGAGTGGCCATAGTCGCGCAATGATATGAACCATCTTTGTTACATATCTCAGGTTTCTATACTATGGCGGGCTACAAGCCTTGCAGGAGCTCTATGTCTAAAGCTCCCCTAAATTATCCTAAATTTCCCCTAAACTATACTAAAGTATCCTAAACTTACCTAAGTCTTTTTACCACAGTACTTACGATAGAAGTAAGATATGTACTACATTTTCTTCTCCCCTAGCAGCCTAGGCCATCTCGCCTGAGGAGCGACACCAGATCAAGACATCTACTCTTGATGCTGCACAAGGTGATGAAGCAGATGTTTCTTTGTCAATTGGGTCCTTGTCTCCAATATTGACTATACAGCAGAGAACAATAGGTCAACCCTTTCGCTTACTCGAGCACGTGGGATTACCGTTTTACTTTTGGATCGGGGAATGTTTGTTGGGTGGGAGATCCGAGATCAGACGGAGAAGCGAGCACTCGAATTGTATCGCATCTTCAAGTACCACAAGAAGAATGATCTTACTATCCGGGTATGGTGCTGCCATAAGTGCACCAGTCTCGATCATAAAGTTTCTAATTGCAAGGAAGAATTGGCACATGATCCCAATCTCGATTGCGCCAACTCGATCTGCCAACAGACAGGGCATATGTCCGACCACTGCGAATTGCAGAATTGCCAGACCTGCTTCTCTCAAGGTCATAGTGCAAACGAATGCCTATCAAACCTCATGGGCACAATGCACCGACTTGCACTTTACCTATACCAAGAATGACAACAAATGATCATGTTCCAAGTGTGGGGGACAAGGGCATGCTGGGTTCCGGTGCAATGCACAACTCGACCTTGAACGAGCAAACGCAAACGAATCTGCAGACGTGAATGACCAGGAATGCTTCAAATGCAAATAGACAGGACACCTTGCAAAGGGTTACCAGTTACCATAGTACGGAACTTGCAAGGAGAGTCACACTTGGCAGGCTATTCGGTGAGCTCATATTGCATCCATAGAATATGAAAGTAATCAACTGATAATTTAAGCCGCCTCGAAATTGTTGTCAACTGTTTGGCTGTCCAAGATGTCTGAACCTTTCAAGATCTGCGACACGAACTTTTCAACGAACGTTATATCATCAGGGTCGCAGAAGCTGCAACACAGCTACCACTTTTACTTATTTCTCTGAACTTTCTGGAATCTGAAGGCGTTGAGGCACCTTTCGAAGTATGTAAGCTGGCCGACATAATGAAACACCTTGGGGAGACATCGTCCCTCCCAACTTCGAGATGTTCGCTTGGTAACGCCACAGGGAGATCCAGGTATAGATATAAAATTTCTTATGGAAGTCCTTTAGAATAGGTGTGGAAAGGACAGAGTACGTTATCTTGACGCAGACTCTCCCATCTCCCGCTATCTACCGAAACACTTCGGTATCACAAAAACATTATTGGTCTTTATGCTGGAAAGCGAACCAAAAGCTTTCATGCGAATACCTAGATGCCTGAACATGAAATTGGATCGCTTTCTGGTAATGGGTCTGTATTTCCCCAACAATTGGTGTTCGCTGGATTGCTTGATCTGTATCTGATGTATGATTTCGAAGAAGATGGTGTGTATGACCTTGTAAGTTGTGGTGCCCGTCCTCCGTGTCTGGTGATTTTGCTCACTTATCATTTTTACAGGAAGCTTCAATCAAAATAATCACTACTAGCATCAAGATGGGACCGCCACACTTGCGGTACTTTGCGTTCTGCCTCATGGAAGGAAGAAAGGTTTGATGCTCGTATCGAAGCCAACAATGCATCGACCTGATCGAAGTCTACAATATGACAATGTGCAGATTGTGATGAAATCGATCACGCACGATGTAATGCTCCAACTCCCACAACTGAAGCAAATGTGTCTCCTCACTCGAGAGTCGTCGTTCTTTCGAGCACATCGCACAATGGAAGTTTGGTCCCGTCAGTGTCGAGACAGTAGCGTACCTGGGCTTAGCTCGCGGTGCATTCCCGCTGGCGATAGATCGAAGACTCACGGTGGCGAGCAGACATCTTGAGCGAAAGGTTGAAACCACAGTTGGCTTCCTATGGCTCAGGGGACTGGTTCTATTCAACGAACGATGAACGGAAAAGGCTGGACTATGAGCAGCTATTAGTTACAATGCATGGCAGTATTCTACATAGGGGGGAAACGCCGGAAAATAATAGAAAATATAGCTAGAAGAGAGGAAGAAACCCAAGCATATGATTGTTTTGCTTATACGTCTTTGAAAATCTTTAGGCGGTCTATCGATTATCCTTAACTTCTCTAGTCGTCTTCTCTATTTCTAGGTGTATGTAATTATGATCATGGGAACGATGCGTCCTACATCCGTACGACTTGAAATCCCTTCATCTATGGTTCATGCATCATGTCATGATAGTAACCACTCTTGTGCTTGCCATATCCACCTCAAGTCAAAGGAGCATGAGAGTTTCCAACCAACATCCATCCATACAATGCCACCGCCCGCGTTTCGACACTTGATAGAGGTGGAATCTCCTCAAACTCGCCGCATCCATATCACTGAGACTTGCCACTCTTATCTTGCTTCCGTGCGACAATGACATCCACACGCTTGAAGGCAGGGAACCCCTCAAAGAAGCAGTTGCTGAGCCAAAGCCACCACTGTCCAGAGAATCTCTCAACGCTGTGCCTCTGAAGCTTCCTGTCGAAGAAGAAGCATTCAACAAGATGAATACCGATGACGGGCCAAAAGATGGCGTTGACAAGCCAGCGATAGAAGGTCGCGCCTCCAGGGAACCCTTCGTTCAATAACTCCCAGATGCGAGTGCCAGGCTGTACCCACGGCAGTGTCCCGGCGCAGAAGAAGTAGAAGAGAACTGATCCTGTGACAAAAATGCCAAAACCCTCTGGAGGTGTGTAGGCTGTGATAATGACGTCGCTAAGACCCAGTCCTTCACGGGCTGTGTTGGCCATCTCGATGATGCGGCCTTTGACCTCGGCCCAGCTGGAGATTGGAGGCGAGAAAGGGACGAAGTGGTCTTTGCCATCTTTTGACTTTATAGTCATGCCGTTGAGATCAATATCCTTGAGTGCGGGTGAGGATGCAGCCGAGGCAGAGAGATGGGCATAATGACGGAGATAATAGGAGATTTCTCGGGTGTGATCCTTGTTCATGTGCGACACGATGCGGTTCTTGCGGGCATCATCGGCAGAGGCCATTTTGTTTTATTTTTGTCGAATTCAGATATTATGAATTCTTTATTGGGCCACTGTGATCTTCGTTTAGATGCAGCTTCGTTGAGTGTTAGAGGCAGATGAGAGCGTGGAGTCGGAATTGGTGGGTGAAGTTGAAAGTGGAGCCCAACTATTTGCCAAAAGTCGACTCCCGAGGCCATAAAGAGACAAGGATACCTAGTTGCATGTGAAGCAATTGAAAAAACAGAAAGTCAATAGAGAAGAGTATGATCGTCGAATAACCCAGGTATCTAACAACAAAATCGAACTTTCTATGTGCCATAATTGGCTGTCAATGCGTAAGTTACATCTTCTCTGCTGTAAGATTTTACTATTTATTCATAAGTACGAAACCACTATCTGGTCGAAATCTGTCTGATGAAGAATTACTATTTCATTATTGATTTTTATGTTCATTAATCGTTAAGTAGCCTCTACATTCTCTCTTGCTGATCCCTTCTCCGCGTCCCATCCACTGTCGTGCACATGCCTGATCGTCCTCGTTCGGACCTGGATACCAATCATGCCCGTCAATTGGGAGATCATAGAAAACCTCTGGCCTCCTTGGATCTCTGTCCTGACGTTTCCGTAAGTTTTGTCTCCCAGGTGTAAGTTCGACTCGACTAGCTTCTTTGGACGTCCCCTTGACAAGATCCCGAACAACCCCCTCTGACATAAACTCGGCCTCAGCATCTTCGTATCGGTTGACGGTGTTTCCGGCATACTAGCCTCTTCTATTATCTGCGGCAGGCGGTTGGTCTCTTCCACGTCCCTCGGAGGCACTGGATCTATAAAGGATTGCCATATAGGCAGGCATGCCCATATAATCAAGATCGAAATTTCGACGTCCATCCAAACGATTCGTTCGTGATATTTCCAAACTGGCTGCATCATCTTGAAGAAATTGATCAAAAGGTGCAGTCGAAAACAGGACACAGCCAGACCGAATGCTCCCAACGCCATTGCGATGGCGCTTTGTAGCCAAGATGTTGTGTTACTTGCGACTCGGCTGAAGATCAGGTGAGAAAGCATAACAAGGAGCACCAGGTTTAGGAATATGTCTATCGAGGAAGCGGCGTATGCAAGTGAGTCCTGAGCCAAGCAACCTCCTGTTTCCTCATCTCTTCCACTTGGTTCCCAACCTTCCCAGGCGAATGCAATGGGTGAACATCGAAATACTCTCAATAGGGCCAAAGCAATTGAAGAGAGGATGGTGAGTACAAGGGTCGCGGCTGTGGCCACTATGTATCTGCCAGAAAACGATGAGCGTAGGCATACGAGAAGAATCGCGACTCTAAGTAGACACGAGCAGGCAAGCTCAAATGTGTCGGCCATGAAGACAAGCTAGGCAGTTCAATGTTAACATTCTGCGACTCACTCCTGCACGTTGCAGACAAACCTTTAACCCGTCTGTAATGTATTCCGGAACCGCATTCCAAGAGATTGTATCTCCTGTCACAGAGTGGGCTAAGGAGTCTGGTAAGCATGAGTCCATATTCATTCAGCGATCCGACTTACCAAAGTGAATCAGAGTTGCAAAGACAGTGAACAACAACTAAAAGCAGGTTAGGTTTGATGATCTATGGTACGAGATACCAACTTACTCCACAAACTACCATTACATAGTCATCCAGAGAAAGACTCTCATATGTAATCCAGCTTGAATACAGCCTAAGCCAAGGAGAGATCCATGCTGGTATCTCTGCAACTAACAGGACATAGTGATTATTCCGATTGTCTTTTTGCTTGCTGTCACAGGCATTGGCATAGATCTTTGCAATATCTAGAGCTTGTTAGTTCTATCCCATTTTTACTTCAGAATAATTGGCGCACCGAATCTTTCGAAATCGCGGCATTTGTCTGCGAAGCAGTTATCTAGCTCCTCCTTGACATTTCCGTCGTTGCACATATCAATGGCTTCGAAATCCGAGTTGTCATATTTTTCAAGGCATGAGCTCTTCAAGACATTGTCAGTATAAGCACAAAACCGCATACAAACCTCAGACTCACGGTGCAACGGGGCAGACTCTTGAAGAGTTCAGATCTGTCAGCGCCGAACGCTCCAGCAGTGAGTGCTAGCGAGCAGATCGCCCAAGATGTGAGCTTCATACCCGTCCAGTAGCATTAGGGCTGCTGATGTTGAAGAAGTGAACCCAAACAGGGGAATAACAGGATGCTCAAATATTGCAAGACATGGGTTACCTCAACTATCATATATATATAACCCCCAGATCTACGTAGGCAAGGGGCTTCATCCGAGTTGGGTGGGAATGAAGACCGCATCGAGCTGTAACAAGACTAGTTACTAGCCCTGTACGTTCTTACATCCCGGTTTTGATATGAACCCCCTGTGCATACAACATGGATAAGGTACGTCGAGCATTGAGGATCGTCTCAAAATAGCGGAAATGATCTTACACGGGCCGCTGGGAGGATTAGCTGCAATGCTATTTACATCGGTTCCT